TCTCTCTGGAATGAAGAAGTTTACAGCTTAAAGTTCCTCCTCCCTTGTTTCAGTTTGTGCAGTAGTAATGTGTGGGAGTTTGGCTGGACAGGCCACGCCTGTCTCTCTGTGCTGCCAGCTAAATCTCCAGTGGGCTACAGAGCCACCTCAAAATAAATATGTACCCCCTTTCAACCAAGGAATTATCTGGACTTATTTCTCTTTTGGCAGGCATCTGAAGCTAACTAGGGTCATGATCCAATTAGCTGGATCTTCCATTGCCCTACAAACTGCTGTGGATAGAGTAAAACGCTCCGCAACAGGTCAAACTATGATCATTTAAAGGAAACAAGACATCCCAACATAAGCTGACTAAAACTCTGTCAGCCTATGACTTAAAAAGAATTAAATAAGAAAACAGATCTGACCACATTGAACTGAGTTGAATTAAACATTTTGTGGATGCTCATCTATTTGTAATTCCAATATTTACATAAGTCAAATTTCAGAAAATTATAGATGAAATGGACAAACATTTTTAAGGGAATCACTTTGTATGAAAGGAGGATGCTCACAGTCATACCCCTCTAATGTTAAGAGGAAAGGCAGATCATAAAAATAATCATTTAGCCAACCTGATAAGGTCTAAAATTGGCTAGCTAAAGGCACCAAATGGTTATGTTTGATTGCTTTTCTAACCAACTGTGCAAGTTTGAATTATTTCGCTTTTTTCCTTCTTATTATTAAATTAAACAGAAAAGAAGAAACAATTTTAGATCTGTAAAAAATGTTCATTCTGATAAAAGAAAGGTGCAGTTTTCTGAGTTTTCGGGTCAAATGCTTTTATTTTTTAATCAAAGAAAATCCCTTCAGTCAATAAAAATTAGATCTTTGTTGAATAAAACTTTGACATATTAGGTAAATGAATTGAATTGATCTGTTATTAAAAACATGCTGGATGTTGGCCATACATTCCTACTTAACTCCCTGACAGATATATTTTGAATTTATTCCCAGCTTGTTTCAAAAAATGAAATATTGAGACATTTGTGTACTTTTTAAATGTCAAGACAAGATTTTCTTCTTAGTTTAATCAGCCTTTAAAATACAAATTAACAAAGTTACTTTTTTGTTCTTTAGTTTTATGTTCCATTTCAAAAACGATTGACAAGCCATTATTTCACATAAAAGACATCTGCAACACATCTTAAGTTCTTTAGTTCTTTTATTACAGGATTTTAAAGACTGATAAAAAAAAGAAAAAAATTGCATACGGTATATTAAATTAGATGGCGTTGTGAATACAGCGTGATGAAATTAATTAATCGAGACATTGGAATTGCATGCCTTAGATAGTTAATAAAGCATTTTGGTCTAAAGAAAGTTTATTGTTATCGTTTTCTTTTCCACAAACATTTTTAACTGAAGCGCAATGTTATATGAGTTGAAGTGCAAGGAAGTTTTTCTTAAAAGGTCGGGCCAGATGGGGTCAGTAATAATAATCTTCTTGGTTGGACACCTACAGCAAAAGAGAAAGGAAAGTTATAATGACGTCTACATATGTGCTGTAGTTATAGTTACCCTGTATTTACACAGCATCTACCTCCCCTGCTGCAAACCTCTCTACCCGCTCTGCTGGGTTTGTGGTGCAATGCCCAGAGGAGCTCCAAGCTGCAAGCTCATGAAGGCTAGTTGCTTATTTTTGTACATATTGTTATGTTCAATTACCTAAGTTAATATACAGCCAAGTATTTGATATAACATGCGCTATTGCTGATATATAGACACACACACACACATATATATATGCTCTGGAATTTACCAATATATATATAGAACTAAATCTAGTCCAATTGTAGTAAGTTGCTTGGAAAATCTAGATGCTGTAATCATTAATTTTTCTTTTGATGCAATGTGTTTTAGCAAATCTAATGAGGTCTCGCTCCAGGGTCTAACGAAAAAAACAAATCAAGCAGATTATCATCACCATCTCCCTGCAGAGGCAGGGTAAAGGATTGCATTGATTACAATGGCTGCTTATTTGCTGCAGATTTTGCAGCCTGACAGATTTTAATTTCGGGATCAGAAGTCCACTAAAAAGTGGAGTGTTATGAAGGAAAAGTATTTGATTCTAGATTGTACACAAGCAGATTTGATTAAGTTAGTAGAAAAACTAGGTTTTAAATGATCCATAGCCCATTAATCTGATTAATGGGCTATGGACTGGGCTTTTATTAGGCCACTCCTAAATCTTCTTTTTTACTATTCAGTGGGGCTTTTGCAAGTGTGCTTTGGGATCATTGAACCTAAAACATTGATCACTGCTATGTAACTAACAGGCTGATAAAAAAAATTACAATAGCCAGAATTTTTCAACTGTATTAAAGCAAAATATGTTGTCCCATCAGTTATGTTGAGCTATAAAGAGGTAAAGTAGCTGCAGACTGTAACATGTGTACCACCATGTTTATTGTGGGTATGATTTCCTTTACATACAACCCTATGGTAATATTACTTTGCATGTAAATGGTCAAACACTTTCGTCTTGCAATTCATGGCTGTTCTCCAACAGTTTTGGGAATCATAAAGACATTCTTGGCAGGACAAGCTTTCCTCTTCTCTATGCTCAGCCTCTTTCTTATTGATCTGTAATCAATACTGACTTCAGCAGTTTAGATGTTGTTCTGAGAAAGTCCCCACTGGCCTCCATGAGTTGTTCATGTGCTATTTGGATAATTTAGGCAAGCAATAAGGAGCAGGGATCACTATTGCCACCATACCACCAGGCCATTCAGCCGGTAACAGGAACCAAACATTTCTGCTAACTTATGATGACAGCAAACAGAATCCACTCTGACAGCAACCAGCTGGTATGCTGTTGGATGCATTTAGCTAAATAAGCATCTATTAACCTCTGCTGGTATTGTTCTAGTCATCAGATGAAAAAATTAACAGTCTAATGCATTGAAAATCAAAATGAAACCATTCTACTGCAACAAATTGGATTCTGTAAACCTGTGATTTGAAATATGTAAGCTGGTGAGTATTTATCTAAAGAATGTGTTTTATTGAGAATGTTAGAGCAATACCTCCTCAATAAACATTAAGAAGGCATTGCAGAAGGGTTAACAAAAGGTTTAGAGAGCAAACAAACCATGCCAAGAAAATGTTTGAAGGCTACTGAATTTGATCAAGCATGTGAAGCAACTCAATGTCTCCATCTGATGGCTGGTCCTAAATCTGCAGTGATGTCATCTCAACTAGACATCAATATTTCTATCTCTTCAATATCAGTATGCGTTTCACATTTGTAATAAATTGCCCCATACCTCTCACCATATAGAATACTTTTATCCATCACAGACAAGGACTCAATGCTATATTGAGAACAAAAAAATCGGTTGCATGTTCAGTCAAAAAATTAACAAAATTCAGGTCTTTTTATTCATTCTTATACTAAATTAAAGTCCTATAAAAATGCAGAAATAAGCAAAGCTCAAAATCAATCAGCTCAACATCCCGCCCCCCCAAATGTTTTAAATTATTGCATTTATCTTGCACTATGACATTGATTCCTTTTTACTAAAATGGTGCAAGAATATCAAACAAAGCAAACCTGACAGTAAACTGCTAATAAAACAAATACTTTATTGTAAAATGTTTTATTCAAAAACATTCCAAGTAGATCCTTTAGCATATCTTACAAACATCTGGTTTATACACATAATACAAATTATATAAATTGGGTGAGAACTTTAGAGAAATACAAATTACCAACCTTAATTTGTTGGGAGACAAAAAAAAAAAGAAAAAAAAATGTTGGCAAATTAAAAATAACCATCTTAATCCAAACACTCGCTACATTGAAAAGCTGTTTGAATCAAATGGCATCTGACATCCAGAATATGGCCATGATGTAGGAAGAGGGGCTGCTGGTTCTGTTTAAAAGCACAGAAAATCTCTTCAATAAAAGTGAAATGATTTGGACTCCACTGCAATCTCAAACAGTATAGCTCATACTGTCTCTGTATTAAAAAACAATGTTCATTTCTCCACCAAGTTATCATTAATCATTAATACTCTTTTGCCTCATCTAAAGATTAGCTCACATCTTTGTCATCAAAGCCACTTAATTTGAAAGTTCCGCAGCAAAAATTAAGTCTGCCCCTAAACATTAAAAGAGTAATACCTCTACTGTAGGTTCAGTCTGATACACGAAAAAAAAACAACACTTCATTGGGATGGATATGGACGCTTTTTCACATTCATGACAGAAAAAAAAAACATAAACACACATAATGACAAAATAATCAGTTCTGCCTAGCAGCGATTTAAGATTGTTCCCCAGAAACGAGCTTCAGAAGATTGTTGATGCACTTCAAGCTGCAGGACGGTAGCTTGAAATCCAAAAATGAGACCTACATATAAACCAAGCTCTTAACAGACATGCATATATTCAGGAACTTTGCCCAAAGCGTCATTTTTTTGTGCCGCTTTAAAAGGCTGAGCCCTTGCATGTCAATGATCTGATTGTGATTTTAAACTGAGACTCCGTCAGGGGAGCAAAGGAAGGGGTCTCAGCTGCAAGGATGCACAAGACGTGTCCGGATCCGGAGCGACGACTCTTATCTCTGAACATCGGAGACATCTCTTATCGGACGGCCAATTAGGAAGGGGTGATTTTCAGATAACTTTGTTTGAGAAGGTAAAATTAATATCCGTCATCCGGCTTTGAACATGGCTTGTGCTGTTTAAAGACTAAAAAATGCTATGATTGGAAAACCATTAACAGTCTTTTTTTTTCCTTTTCCTTGTTCAACAGATGTGGTAAAGCCTTTGTTTACAAACAGGATATTGAACACGTTGCACTTATATTTGAGAAGACTGATCTTCTGGTAAGGCTAAGCGTAGTCTGGTTGTGTTTGTTTTTGTATACATTCATAAGTACAGGACTGACAGTGTTGCAGTGATGGTGCTTTACCTGCAACGGGGTGGTAGGGGGGGAGGGGGAGGGGGGGGGGGGGGGGGGGGGGGTTAGGACAACCACACATTTTGTACTTTTAACTGTTTGACAATCAGGCTAAGGAAGGCACTGGGTTAAAGTTAGATCACATGAAATGTTTACGCTTTCCGCTATCCATCTTTGAAAAAGCTAAAAATCTAAAAATCTTTAGCCGGAGAATCGTAATTCTCTCTTGAAAAATAAACTTTGATATATTTAGAAAAAATATCTTCTGCACCTTTGAGACATTTCAGCAAGAACAGTTAAGCAAAAGTAAGTCGCTTAAAAACCAACCAAAAAAAAAAAAAAGCTAAATGCTTATGGCATTTTGGTTCTCAAATAAGCATCTGTTTGACGCCAACTGAACTAGAAATCTAGAATAATGAAATGATTGAGGCTTTTGTGCCAAAAAAGAAAGGAGGTTTAAGAGTTCTTTGAAATGATAGAACAGCAGAAATGTTTGAGTCATAATAAAGTTGAAATAAAAAATAAATTAGTGTGCTTACAAAAACCTGCTGAAATGGACAACAGAAGGATAATAAAACTGTCTAGACAGTCACAGTGCTACCCATTTAGACTGGGATACTCCTGTTAGTAAGAGTGAAGAAGATGGCGCTAAGGTGCCATCTTTCATGGATTAAAAAATATATATATATATAGCACTTGTTTGAGTCACAGTCCTAGCCTAACTCAGATAGACAGGGGTCACTGGGTGTCCAGTCGGCTGTACTTCATGCCCCGGTTCCAGTGCAACGCCCGCAGTGAGAGAGGCAGCTGGTAATTCCGAGGAACTGTGCCGTTCACGTTCTCTTCAAAATACTGGAAGAGTCTGTACCACCACACCCGTGCAAACATGTTGTTCTGTGAGGTCTCCTTCAGTGACTGAAACCACAGAAACACAAAAGGAGTCAAAGGAAAATCTAGAGCAGTCTTCAAAACAAGTGCATGCTGCCGTTTTCACACCTTTGGTCGTTTGTGAAACCAAATTTAGAAATTCACAAATTGATTCTGCTTTGAGAGCTTTTTGCTACGCTATGTTTATCTATTCTTTTGGTTCATCACTGCCTACAGCAGGGCTATATCAGGCAAATAAAACCCATAAGGAGCAGACCAGTCAATACAGTGTAAAATACTGAGGGGCTAAAAGATTTAGGTCAAATTTATTTCAGATTAAAACTTTAAAACCATTTTAACTTCTATTGTTTTTTTAGTTTCATTTTTTTTTTTTTTTTTTTTTTTTTACATGCTTAACAGTACACTAAGCCTGCAAAATATAAATTAAATAAGGAAAACAGTCTGACTTTGATAAAAAAAAAAATAGCCAAACAGTAGCCTAAAATGTTCAGGCTTATTGTCGTTGTCTGAATCTTGTTGTTTTTGTAGTCTGACAAACAAAAACAGGATATGAATATGAATCAATTTAGCCAAGTCTAATAAATTGGTTCCCCAGACTACTTTTCTGTCAAAGTCACTAGATGTGTTTTTTTCTTTTTACAAAAAATTTTATTAAAGTTGAAAAATCAAACAAACCTTGTGGTAAATTATGCTTTTAATTGTACTATTTTTTTTTTTGAAAGCCAGTAAAATTGCATAAACATGTATCTGCAGCAAAAAAAATGCTGATGCTATTCTTGAATTCTGGCAAAGTGTCCCTCAAAATAATCCTGAGGGCCTTAAACGGCCTCCTGACCACACTTTGAATTTAGATAGTCTCACCTGTTGGTTGGCCATGGTGTGGTACCACCAGAAGAGGCGTGTAGTGATAAAGTAAGCCACGACCACGTCCACAGTGTAGTGGTCGTGGGCCAGAAGGATGCAGAAAATCCCGACGGCGCTCAGCGCCAGGCAGATCCAGTGGTACCACCAGAAACGCCTCGGGGAATCTGGAAGAGACACGGAAGAAACTCACTGTTACCTCTGCAGGAAAGTCCTTTATTCATTATTCACAAATGAGATTTTTTTTTTTATTAATGTTGCCTTTAAATGTTTGTACACGACATTAGGCTGCATATAGTAGTTTGTTAGATAATTAAATGGTACCAAAAGTTAAACTGATATAATGTGGCACCTCAGTGGTACAGTCAAAGCTCTTCTGCTTTGTTACCACTAGATGTCAGATCTGCATCAATTTGATTAATGGACATACACCAAAAAAATATCAACATATGTTTTAGCCAATTGAAAAAGAAAATAAAACACCAAATCTGAAAGAAAATCTAATAATATATCACATAAATGTGGCAGTTCTCTACCACGCAGACAACTTTAAGTGAAGCAACTGTGAGGCGAAAACACACAAGCTTACACAATAGAGCCTGAAGTTTAAAAGAGAGAGTTGCAGGTTGGAGCGCGGTCACATGGACTGCCTTGTCTTAACACACCGAAACCAATCTTGCATGGAGGACGAGCATAGAGTGCTACACTTCCTCCCCATCGTTTTACCTCAAAACTTCCTGAAGAAATCAGTTGTCAAAGCAAAATCAAATGAGTATCACAAAGGCGGAAGATACAAACAGGACTGTTTAATTAACAGCAACTGGGTTAAAAAACACTAATTCTTTTTGCTCGAATGTGATAAACTATTCTGCAAACCTGCTACCTCTACAGTATAAAGCAGAAGACAATGTGGCTAAGACAATGTGGCTGAGAGGTCAAAGGTCCTTACATTCTTTGATGAAGAGGAACGTGAGCGTCAACATGACGGTGTGGCCACTATAAAGATAATCTCCACACATGGTGTGGGAGCCTGTGATGGAGAGGCCGCCACCGGCGATCATTTTCATGATCCTTCTCGTCTGTGCTTCCCAGTCGCCGAGTAGCTGAAACAGGAAATCACACATTAGAAAAGTATCAAAGGACACAAAAACAGGAACGTCTAAGGATGAACAGGAGAAAATCAAGAATCAATAACTACCTTCAATTTTTATGGCTTGAATTAATATATGTCATTTTTAAAACCCTACATTTCTCAATTAAAGCTGAAGGGACCCTCTATATAAGGCCTTACAAATACAAATCATTTACATTCTTTCTCATCAATACAATATTTGAAAATGTTCCAGTCAAAGACTCGTCTCTTTTTAAAGAATTAACCTCTTTTAACACCAGCTATGACAAATAAGTGTTTGACTAGAGGAAAAACATCTGGTTGAACTAGTCATCCTTCCCCAAACCTTCAAAATATTAGTCTGAGCACCAGAACTGAATCTTAAACTAATCACTGCTTCAAACCCATATTGAATGTGAAAGATTTAAGCAGCAAATGTAAAAAAAAAAAAAAAAAAAAAAAAACCAACTATTGATTTCTTTTCAATACCACAAATAAAAAAAAACCTGGCAACTTAAGGACTTGAAAGTAATTATAGCTTTGGCTATATTGTTCTATTAAGGCCAGGGAGACAGATATGGATATCTTTAAAATAGGATTACATTATCAAAAGGCAATACAAGCTGGGAACTCACTGTGTGGCCAAACTGCAAACCTACCTAAAACAAGGCTTTTAACCCAAGCTGACATTCCTTGTGAAAAAAATAAATAAATAAATGAAAGATTTTAGAAAAGCAGTCAAGATAAACGGCTGAAGTAGAAGAATGTGTTAACACAACAACTATCAGCTGTGCCCTCCTCATAAATCTGGCCTTTATCAACAAGTGGAAAGAAAGAAGCCTTTGTTAAAAGAACACATGGCCCACATGCAAAATGCAGCATGTTAAAGAAACATTGAATTGTGCATTAATCTGAAGAAAGGATCCTCTACATGAAACATGGTGGAGTTAGCTTCCAGCCGTGTGCAGGCTCTTCCTCGGCTGGGACAGAAAGGATGGACTTTTAGAGATGATGGCTGTAGTTACATACGGTAAACCCTAAAGAAAATCTGAGAGCCTGCAAAACTCTTTCAGCATCACAACAAACATGCGGCCAGAACTAAAACGCTTCATACAGGAATGTGTGAGTTAAAATGGAACAGCCAAAGTCCAGACCCGATGCTGATTAGGAATTTGATCAGATATTCAGTCACTGGAATTAAACAGGAGGTAGCGATCTAACTAACAACATTAAACAACCAGTGTGCTCCACTTTTCACTCCCCAATCAAGAACTGCTTTATACTGATCCATAATAACGATTCATGATTTTAGTTGCAATGTAGCAAAATGTGATAAAGGTAAAAGGGTAAATAAGGCTTAAAAAAAAAGTCTACACAACTACAATCGAGCAATCCAAAAAAATGTAACATACACGTCTTTAGCCAGGAACATTTGAAGCTTTTAATGTAATCAAAACTACATTAAGCAACAGGTCAAAGATTAAGCTAGTTAGAACTTAGAATGCCTTATTAAAGAAAAGCTCTTGGTGAGCAAATGTTGTTTAGCAATTTACTTTTCTTTAACTGATAAGTTAGCATTTATTTTCAGACAAAGCAGCATGTAGATACCCTACCTTTGGTGAGCATTTAAAGTGCTTCCCAGGAACCGGAAGAGTAGTGATATACATTGTGATACATCGGTACAGGTAGAGTGTTCCCACAATGAAGAAAAACCTCCTGCCTATTATTGATCTGTGAAAAAAAAAGGGAAAAAGAATAAGTTAGCATCAAGTTTTAAAAGTGTAAATATTTGTGTGTACTCTAAAGTCCTTCTAAGGAGATATATGTGAATGGGGAGCAACTGGCATCTCCAAAAGATCACAGCTACCCCATCTGTTGCTGCACACCGTTAGAGAGACAACTCCTTTACTCTGGCCCTTGCTTACATAAAATGACAAAGTGGGTTGTTTCACTTGTTATAAAAAGTATGGAGAATCATAAACCCCTACACCTCATTCTTCCCAGTGTAAACGAAAAAATGTGTTGAGTCTATTAGGCAGAAAAAACTCAACAAATTCATACTTTTCAAGTTTAAAGTTCCTATATGTTTCCAACAGGTCTTATAACACACAAACGCACCCACACACTAACATATACATGTCCAGGATCTAAACAGGATGCAGTTTAAGTCCAGTTTAAAGGTTGGGTGTAAAGAATAGTGAGTTGGCTCATTTCTGAGCCTGTGTGATAGTAAATAAAAGAGACATAATATAGGACATAATCTAGCAAAAAATGTACGGTATGTAAAAGCCTTTATTTTTCTACATTTTTTTTCTTAAATCAATAAAAAGTTAAGCATTTCTCTCAATTTTATATTTTCCAAAGAATAAGATTTGAAAAATGAAAAAAATTATTAATATTTAAACATCACTGATAACATATCTACAACTGTAATAGGTATTTTTAACAGCAGTAGGAATACTCGTGGCATTTCTGTTTTAAATAAAAGCAACTAGACCACGTAATTCATTTCAGTTTTATTTCTGTGTAAACACAGTGAAACTGTGGTACTTTAAATCAGGCTATGAGAACGTTATACGGGGCCCCTGTCTAGTCTAGACATGGCCGAACTCAAAACAAAGCTCCTCCATACCTGTGCTTGAGAAGAGTCCATTGTATCAGCCACAGTCCCACCAGCAGCATGCCATTTATCTCACAGATGGAGAAAGCCCACTCGCGCCTGTCAAACAGGTCGAAAAACTTATCAGGCAGAGGTGGGGTCAGCTCTTTCGGAGGAACTCTTTCATGGACCACTGAAATGACAACACTGGTGGTGACGAAGCAGACCACAGCATAGATGAATCCTATGCCTGTCTTCCCCCACTCTGTAGGGAATGAGGAGCGAGTGGGTTCTATTGTTGGCATAGGAATGTGGATCATCTCCTGTTTAAAGTCTTTCCTCCCCGGAGTGCCGTTCCTCTGCACCTTACTAGTTCCATTGGGGATCCCCACTAAGTGCCCGTTGGCGTGACCGTTTTTATGATCCTCCAAATGGGTCTCAATCCGCAGTATTTCCATCTGCTCCAGTAGCCGCTGTCCGCCATCGGATGACACTCGTGAGAGGGGAGGCACATTAAAATCTGCCTTGGTGAGCCTGAGCAGAGCGGGCCCGTCTATCTGAGTGAGAGCGTCTGCATACTCTGGCATCCCCTCTCTGCTCAGCCAATTAGAAACATCTGCTGCCGACCATGATTCCACCTTCTTCATCTTGGCCAGTGGTCAAAGGTGAGAATTAGGAGAGTCCTCAAACTAGAGGGCAAGGTCTATTGGAGGCCTGGATGTCTATGAGGCAGCAGTAACACGTCTACGGTTTGGAGACATGATGCGTCTTTCATCCAGAAGTCCAGGTCTCTGTCGTCATAGAAGAGAGAAGCAAGGCAGCGGATGTATCTCAGGAATGGGTGGAAAAGTCGGCTAGCTTCACCTCAGCAGCTTCTTCAACAGAGCTCTGTTAAAAGAAATATAGATTGAAAAGCTGAAAAAAAACTGCTTTAATTCACTAATAACTTAAATACATTATGCATAATGCAGACAACATGTTATACTGGAACTCTACCAAATAATCATTTGATTTTCCCTTAAATTTCTCATACTTATCTGGGACCGGGGAGGCAGTTGCAACAGTGTCTCTGCAGAGACTGCTGTTCCCTTTAAAATACTAAAACATAAAATCTGCTTTTAATAATGAAAGTATTTTTTTTCTTTTTTAGATTATTTTTAGGCTCTATTGGCCTTTAAGTTTTGTATTTTTAAAAAGTAGTTAGACAGAAAACTCGCTTAGAGAGAGGAAAGACATGAAGCAAAGGTTACCAGGCCGGGACGTGAACCTGCAACGGTTGGGTTATTACACATGGATCGCACACTTTATCCCTGTACCCCCACTGCCCCAAACTATAAATTAAGTGCAATTAAAGTCTGATAATGGTTATTGTTAAAATATACTTTAACGGCAAAGCTAGGACGAACCGCTTTCTTCCAAACTGCTGTTCAGCAGCGTCCTTTGGCATAGGTACTAGCCTGATAAACCAGACTAAATGTGAGATTAAATGTGTAATTTAGTCTGGCCTTGATGAATAAGACATTGGGAGATTGTTGATGAGAACAGCCCATTGTCTTTCAAACCATGTCTGTGTCTATTGGCCAACGATCTGACCAATGAGCGCAATTGACTGTGACGTAGTAAGCGCAACAGAAAGCTGGTGGGGGAGTGTAAATAAACAGAATGTGATGTGAGCAAGGCTTAACTTGTTGAGATCACCGCGTTGGACTATTGTTGTCGTCTGTGCAAAAAACACATGCGAGTAGCTGTGGTACTACACCACTGTATCCAACTTTTCTGAAGTTTAAATCAACCGTTGTCAGTGGCAGAAAGATTACAGAAAGTTGGAGTGAACGTTTCGATTACACCGGGGAAATTCAATCGAGTCTGTCGAGCTTGTACAACGGTGTTGAATAGAATGGAAAGAGATCTTCCAATTTATTGGAGGTGGATTAAAAACAAGGTGGAAGCAGGTGCCCCCGCAGAACGAACAGCTGCTGAAAAGAGAGCTCGGGAGCCTACTCCCTCGAAAAAAACAAGAGACTTGAAGAAGCTCCGCCACAACACAGATAAGCCAAAGATATCTGTGGCTCTTCCACAGAATATAGCAGAGTTAAAGGAATAGTACACCCAAAACATGATTAGCCTTCATTTTCTACTCACCCCCATGCTGAACAACACTCTGGAGTACTTTTTTGATATCTCAAATGCATCTGGAGATCTGGGAGGCTTCTTGCTGTCTGCTGACATTCAAATAATGGAGGTCTATGGTGACCGAGACAGAAAGGTCCATAAAAGTCCACAAAAAACGTATCAATATTCCTCCATACTGCTCGTCCAATGTATTCCAAGTGTCCTGAGTGGGTAGCATCCAGAATTTACTCGAAACGAAGTCATTTAGAATGTTTTTAGAGCATAAACAGTAGTGTATAGGATTTCCTGAAAGCGCGCACACGCGCGCTCACGACGCTACGGAAGCCGGCACACCAAACCAGCGCATTCAGCTCGGCAAAGAACTCATGCTCTTCCTCAACACTGAAGTCCTCAGACATTTTTCTTTCGTTGTTTCTTTCTTTGCACAGGTAAACAGCACATTTCTTCTTCTACGCTTGCATTATTGGCAGAGCAGACGCTGAATGCGCACTTTCATCTGGTTTGGTCTGCCGGCTTCCGTAGCGTCGTGAGCGCGCGTGTGCGCTTTCAGGAAATCCTATACACTACTGTTTATGCTCTAAAAATATTCTAAATGACTTCGTTTCGAGTAAATTATGGACGCTACCCACTCAGGACACTTGGAATACATTGGACGAGCAGTATGGAGGAATATTGACACGTTTTTTGTGGACTTTTATGGACCTTTCTGTCTCGGTCACCATAGACCTCCATTATTTGAATGTCAGCAGACAGCAAGAAGCCTCCCAGATCTCCAGATGCATTTGAGATATCAAAAAAGTACTCCAGAGTGTTGTTCAGCATGGGGGTGAGTAGAAAATGAAGGCTAATCATGTTTTGGGTGTACTATTCCTTTAAGTTGACATTATCAGTATATAATTACGAACTGTCACAGCAAATCTATCTGCTTAATTTTCTAACATAGTCGTGCACCGTAGCTTTAGTTCCTTGTTGTCATTTCTCCAGCGTCGCACAGCTTTGTCATCACTCCCTCAAAACCCCGCCAGCTTTGCATCCAAAAATTCAAAACACATCTCTGCTTTGTGATTGGCCAGCCAGTTCTAGGGCCTGGGGCATTGATCGAGGCTAGACCACTAGCAGGCAAAAAGGATTTTGGCCGCTGGCGGCTGGGGCTAGTTCACTAGGCTACAGCGGTAAGTCTGTGCATGCTGCACACGTCAGCCAGGAATATCAGCTCCCTCTGTCTGAAGTACAGCTTGACAATAAACACAGCTGACCAAAGCATCTGCTTCAACATCAAAGACATTTGGTTATAAAAGGTTATAAGAATTTTCAAAGAATAAAGAATCAAAGTATGGGTGTACTTCAAAGAGGAGGGTTGGGTGCTCTGTCTGGTTTTGTTTTTGCTACTTTTTACAACTGAATTCAGTTTTCTACCAATTATGCCACTGATTTGATAGTCAATTAATCTAAAATCCTTTGATTATTTAGGGAAAAGAAAAGAAAACAGCTTTAGTGTTTAGTGTCATTAGAATGCTCGTCCTTCTTTACTACGTTGGACGTTTGTTAACATTGAGGAACTTTCCGATTCTGTAAGAATGATTTTCTGGATTATTGAACTGAGAGGGAAATCAAATTGAGGTCAGGCCAGCATCTTCTTCTGAAATCTGAGAGCACAGCAAAAAGGAAAGTCTTGGGGAAAACAATATGCCACAGATAAAAAGAAAACGAAAAAATATATCCAATAAATACATAACATATCTACATGGTTATTTCAAAAACAACTAACATAAATTGGACCAAAACAGTCCTTTTCGTTAGAAAGATCGGGGAATATACAGACTAACAAGGAAAAAAGTTAACATGCTCATTTGACATCATCTATTACTTCAACAGGAAGAAGCAGTCGTGTTGCAATGCACTGGAACATTGTTAGCGTCACTAATGATTGGTAAATCTATCGGTTCAACGAGCCTTATTTCCGTGCACATGTGCATCTATCACTATGAATCCACTGTTTTTAAATGCTGGTTTGATCGGCTTTATATTTATTTGTACTGTTAATTTTTGAAAAGCTGGGTTTTGTTACTGTAAGTCTAAGAGAAAATATCCAGCAAGACGACATTTTGAAATAAACATAATGCTCACATTTGTCATTACGCTAAAACAAGAGTATTTGAGATAAATGGTTTATAATAGGATTTTACACTTAGATGATATATTAATATATAGCTAAAAACAGACAAAAAGAAATGTTAAAAATTCCTTGCTGAAAAAAAATTTCACTCCCACCAACTCCCTTTTAGCCTGATTTTCCCCTATCTGGTCAACAGCTGTGGCCATAGAGATATACGGAGACATCTGTTGCACATCAAAGTGGTAGACGTGGGGCGCGGCTCGTCTAGCTCAAGGTTGCATGGTTGTGGAAGAAGTGAGGGTAATGTGGGGACAAGTTCTGATTGATCTGCAGCTACAGGAAGAGGAAACCAAGCCCATTAGGTGGAATGGTGAAGGGACGGATAAACCAGACAGAAAGGTTGAAGCTGAGCATTAGATCAGCCCCATCTATCAAACACTTGCGCCTTTGTGCAGCCAGATATGGCCAAAGCAGCTAAAAACCAGCCACCTGGACAGTTGGAAAAATTACAAAACTACACACAGGCACCTGATCCTTTGTCTGATTACAGATCTGCTCCATCAAACAGGTTCTGTTTCAACACCTCCAACTGTACCTGGCATCAGATTCGAAGTACATTCATATGTTTATGTATTATATAACCACCAGAGATGGAAAAAAAAATGAAAGCATTAAACCTGCATTTCCTGAGACTTCAAACAGTATCACATACAAAGCCAGCCCAGCTGGCCCACAGCAGAAGGAAAGAGAGTGACGAGTATTTAATAAAGATAAAAAGAACGGCTACAAGCAATCTCTTCCTTCAGACTGTTACACGCCATAGATTAGCTGTCACCGAGTCAGCTGTGAGAATGAACTTTGCTCGATGAATCAGCTTAAAGCTTGTTGTTGGAAATAATCTCTTACAAATGAATACAAAGATGGAAAAAAAAGAATAATTCTCAACCAACAACCAACCTAAAACTAGAAATAAAAAAAAGAATATCTTGTGGATGTATTTTATCATTAAAAAATAGTCATGAAAATAAAGAAAACTCTTTGAAAGACTTTTGGTCTATACTATCAGTTTCCCCAAAGAATCTCTTTGCAACATTTACAGAAAAAGAGACACCATGTTTATGCGTCATCTGACTTTGTGTATCCTCCCATGTTCCTCAGACAGATAAGGAGCAGAGAGCAGCTCAACTATTAGCTTACATTAAAAGCAAAAAAAAAGAAAAAGGTTTATGACACACAATAAACTGAGAGCAAACTGAGACATGTCATGAGTGCAAATATCCGTGAGGCATATCAGAACAGAGAAGAAACCTGCTACATTAGCATAAAGGGTCAGATAGTGCTGTGGGAAAAAAAAAGGGGGTTGGAAAGAAGAAACTGAACAAACTTTAACCATTAGAA